TATTGCTAGCAGATCTCGTCAGAACTAGTTTGGGTCAAGAATATGTCGGCGACTTGTACTGAAAGGCCCAAACAGGCAAACACGGCCATAGCCGTGGCCCTTGCCATTGTCTCAGCCACATTGGTTGTTTGAAACGACCGCTGCGGGCCTGCGGCGGTGCCCGATTTTTTTTGATTGCGGTGTTCTTCAACTCAAGGGTATTGACTCGAGTTGGTGATCCGTAGATCTCCCTGCCGAGGTTCCGTGCTGAACAACGGACTACATCCGTTACTGGCGCGGCAGTGCCGTAGATATGTGGCGCCCATCATCTGTCTCCGTACTCCGTACTTTCATAACAGCATCATTATCGAAACTCAGAAGTGAGCCTAAGCAATGAGTGAATATGCCTTTTACAAGAGCGGGCACAGAGTGCAAAATCCATGAGCCTAGATGTTCCCAGCCTGTTGGTCCTACCTGGATGGGGAAATATTACAACGACGCTGTGCACTTGAGCACTCCTCACCATACCGGCATCGTTTTTAAACTTCTGTGGTCTACTAGTTTGCGGTATTGTTACAGATCGAGGTCTAACATAGACGTTGACATCGGCAACTTTATTTAGTGGATTCCAACGGCGGGCCACGTCTTCGTTTAGTCATGTGAAAGCATGCTGAAGCGACAATAGCACTATTTGTTGGAATGTTTATGATTTTGTCATACTTGGGAGAAACCAGAACTGGGCTTAGTTTGTTGGCAATGACATGGCTCCTCAGTAACTAGACTAAATTGATTGACCATTAACGTGCAGTTAGCACACGGCCAAATTGTCAGCCGAACCGCTGGCGAAGGGACTGAGGCTCTTATATTGTCCTTGTGAACAATGTTGTACTTTCCATTGGAGATCAAGCCAGAAATAGTCATCTTCTACTAATTCTGCTCATCCTACCAGACCATTAGTTGTTACCTAGATACATCCAAAGCATTAAGCCAATGACTTATTGTGGCTTAATGGAAATAGATCTTGACAGGGCTACTTGTAATGAATGCATTTCTATCCACCGTGGAACAATGGCCCGAAAGACGCTACTTTCGTAGGGAGGTCTAGTGTAAGTCGCAAATAGAAATCGCTACACCAACGAACGAGGTCTAATCCCAGTCACCATCTTTAAGCTACATGGATGACTCGTTTCCTTGCCGAAGTCGATGTCGATGATAGGTAAAACTCGGCTAGTTTTCTAAGCCTTTTCCTTCTTTAAAATTTTGAGGCATACTAAAACTGACTAGTTTCAATCAAGGTACCTAACCTGAAGGGAAGCACCACTTGCATTGTCACAACTGGTGTCGCTGAGACCTGATGATCCTGACCTGCCACCGCGTAGACAGGCCTCACGAAGACGACGTAGAGAAGCTGGGCCTATGATATCTACATTTTAAAAGACGATTTTGTGTCCAGAATTATATGAGACACGGATTGCTGGAGGAAAATCGAGGCAAGGACACTGGTACACGGAATAGTCCGTTCGTCCGCCGAAAAACGGAGGAATGGCCCGTTCCCGCGAAAGCGAGCATTGACATTGACTACGCTAGAGTCACACAATGGCACGTCAGCATTCCCATCGCCTGTTCTACTCTTAGCTTCTGTATGATTTCTGAAAATGACGAAATCTTGATTGGTCTGATGTACCAGAGCCTGGTCCATTGAAATCGGCCCAAACCCATCCGCTAGACTAAACGGAAGAAACCCAGACACATATGCTTCCCACAACCGCCAATGACGAATGCTAGATGGACAAGCTGGTTATGCCGTTCGATTAAGGGAAGTGGGGAAATCAGTATACATCTTCGGAGTGTTGCAAGCGGCCGTAGGGAGGGTTCGTCTTAGAAGTAGGACGTAACTCCACATCTGCCAAAGACTAGACTATGTTCAAATTATACGGCGGCAAAGGAGAATCTAGAATACTCCGTTAGCCGACCGTATAGTAAATGCCGACTGACTGTACTACCTTGCGGTTTCACATCCACCTGCCGGACTACGGTGAACATTAAACCCCGCTAGCCGCCAACGACAGCCATCCGTCATCCCACTCAGTTTCATTATAAAGGGATGTAAGATTCCCTATTCAGCATATTTCTTTACAGATCTAGCGTCACATTCAAATTCCCATATAACAGCGGTAAGAAAGCTCCAATCAACTCCGCAGACACATAGGCTCATACGTGGCGTTTGATAGCAACCTTCAACGACAACATCAACATCGCAACGACACAATGCTTAACTCAAGCTTTTCACACCGTAGAGCTCTAATCGAGGACGACCCAAAGCCCAAAGATGTCCGAACTGTCACGCTACTCAAATCTCAACATGGGGCCCTGGCCAGGAAGGCTGCGGGAACTACTCATCAATCACGCTCAAGCTGGCCGAGTTTCCAATGGTGGCTCATGGCTATTCCATCATTCATTATTTCAGCTTACGGCGCTGCATTCTTCACCGGAAATACCCCAGGCGATCCACAAATCAAGGCGAGAATCATAGGTTCACTCGGGGGCGTAATTCACATTGGGGGTTCTCTCATGGCCATGGGACTCGGCCCTTTTCAGTTCCTGCCGCAGCTACGACAGAGATACATTCAGATTCATCGATGGTTGGGATGGGTCTATGTCCTTGCCGTGACGACTGGTGGCATTGCTGCGTTCTACGTTACATTCAACAGCGAGGCGTTGACATGGGGCAAGGTTGGCTTTGGCCTTCTCGCCTTGGGATGGCTCGAGAGCGCTAGGCGTAGCATTGTGGCCATCCGGTCGAATGGTGATATCAAGAGCCATCAAGCTTGGATGACGAGAAACTTTGCTCTGACCTATGCCGCGGTGATGCTGCGGTGGCAGTTGCCTCTGATGATCGCCGCGGGTATGGAAGTCAAGTTTGCGCTGTCCATCACTGGATACATTTCTTGGATACCGAATCTTTGGTTTGTCGAACGCTTTGTGTTAAACCAGAGCTGAGCATAGTCCAAGTCATGGTGGTTAGGAGACCCCAGCTTTGGATTCGTCACATCTCTTGCTTGTGTCAGACTTGGACGTGTAAGTCTTTTGTCGAATCACAGGCATTCGACAATCCATCAATCGCTGTAGCCAATAGGGTCTGCGGCGTAATTCCACGGCTGCAACAAGCAGATACTATACTGATGGGGTAGCGGTGTTTACTTACAGCGCGGATTTTTGCAAAGCCGGGCAGAGGTCGAAAGGTTTCGGGAGGCAGGGCTAGTTCACAACTTGACACAACCCATATTAAATACCAGATTGTATGTCTTTATTTTACGAAATTTGTCTAAGCAACCGGTTCTACCTTCTTGACGACCTTGGCCGGAACACCCACTGCAACTGAGTAATCGGGGATATCTCTATTCACAAGCGCGCCGGCACCAATGGTGCACCCCTTGCCGATGTTGATTCCCGGCAACACTGTGACGTTCGCTCCAATCCAGCAGTCATCGCCAATGGTGATGGGCTCTGCATACTCGATGTTGTCTCTCCTAGACTGCAAGGCAGTCTCGTGAGTCGCTGTGATGAGGCTGACTCCTGTGGCGAAGAAGACATTGTTTCCAATGGTCACATGAGCACAGTCGAGAATGACGCAGCTTTACAGGTTCTTGGTCAGTTTTGTCTGTTTCAAAGGGGGAATGGGTCGACTCATAGGAATATCACATACTTGAAATTGGCGTAGAAGCGATCTCCGACCGTGATATTGCAGCCGTAATCAACCTGCAAGCTGGGCTCGACGTAGACATCTTTTCCAATACCGCCGAAAAGCTCCTTGATCATGCCTACTCTCTTGTTGGCAACGTCGTCTGCAGATTCGTCGTCTCCTGGAACGTAGGTGTTGAATTTCTGAGCCAGTCGACGGGCACGGTGTCTCGATGCTACTAGCTCAGGCGCCATGCAGCTGTAAAGCATGCCAGAGACCATCTTCTCATAGTCTTCGCACCAGGGCACATGCTCGAGAGTCTTGGCAAAGGCAATAGCCTTATCGTCTTTTTGCGTACGGATTGGCGGCACCATCTTGGCTATTGTATAGTTGACTGTCGATTGAGAAGCGCAAGGTGAGATGTGACATTGGAATATCGACGTCAAAATTTAGGATCTCACCACCTTAAATTGGCCTACCAAGGTGGTGGAAGCGGTGACTCCGCCCGCCTTTTCAAGTACGAAAGCGAGGTACAGCGCATGGCGCTAAGTCTTTTAGCTGGGGAAACTTCCATATTTGGTAAACATCCCAACAGGTCGCGGAAGACTCCGCAAGCGCATTTAAACTATGGGGTGCGGGGTTGAAGCATCATGAACTTCAGACGACTTCTACAATTCTGCGAGAAAGGCAGCGAAAGATGTTAGAGCTTCAGCTTCTCAAAAGTGAAGTTGAGGACAGAGTGCCTTTTGAAAGAATGATGTGGCTTTAGGGTGACGATTCCTAGCCGATCCATGAAATATGACATTAGAACCGCTGACCACACGTCATCTGACGGATCCTGAGCCGCAAGCCAAGTCGCTGAGGCCGATTGCCAGGCGCCTAAGGCTTCACACCATAAGCGAATGAGCAAACAACAAGGACTCTAGCGATCCCGGCGACTCTCGCGGGACCTATGAGGTGTGTGAGAGAGCTGGAAGACCCTGCGCCACGTTTATCCAGCCCTGCTAGGCAAAAGCGTTGGCCAAAGATCAGCGACGTCAAGCCACGAGATAGTATCTTGGCTTGCTACATTAGGAAAACTGAAGTCGTTTCCCTTTGCCCTCTTCGAGCTTCAAGTAGCTCTCATGATGCACAAGGCAGAGCAGCTGGACCCTGCGGCTTTCCGAGTCTGGGCAAAGGAAGTATTTATGCTTATTTCTTCCCTGATTGTAAGCGCAGTTAGATCCCCACAGCAGCGGAGCAAGAACCAGCATCATCAATGAGCAAGACCGAGCAAGATAGCTTTGCATCTTTCTTATATAAATACGATACAGGTAACATCCTTTGCACCGACTCTGAAATGTATGAACTTGTTTCCCTCGTCGACAAACGCATCGATCAGCACAACCAGAAATCACACAACATGATGAGCACCGGCTGCGACGCAACGCCCACGCCGTCCGGCTCGCCCTGCGAAGTCCTCCGCCAGGTGGAACGACTGGGAGGTGCCCAAACAATGATAGACCGGGTCGATCTCGCAACCGGTTCTACAACACCATTCTACGTCCTTCACAGCAACAAGGAAAACAAAACCGTTGCCGTGTTACATGCAGATCCCCGCGCGCAAGCGTCGGGTGAAGCGTTGGGTTTAGCGAAATACCATTCCCTGTCCTCAAAAATCGACGTCATTCTCCGCGGCGTGCCGATCAAGATGAAGACCAACACTATGGGTAACACACACAGGTTCGACCACCATGGTATAAGCTACAGTTGGGGTGTCTCCAATTTGAGCATGTCAATGAACACGATGTATCTGAAGGATGCCGGGGGCAAACTGCTGGCGACATGGAAAAGGTACCCTGAAGGCAGGTTAAGCGGCATGATTGGACAGTCAGCCCCGACATTTGAGGTTTACGTCCCGCCACAGAGCATCGATATGGACATGGTGATTGTCACAGGGTCTGCAGCGGTCGAGTATTGGCTGAAGTATAAGAAAGACTCCTACGCAGCGGTAGGAGAGGCCTTCGGTGCAGTTTGATACATCTGAAGAAACTCATAGCGGACTGTATGTTGGAGTGTATTCGTTGGCCTAGTATTCGAAGGGGAAAGCGAATATCGGTTGGGAGCCTCTGTGGCGTTGGCGCTGATCTGATAGAATTTCTTCATATTTGAACAATGTACTTAAGATTTCCATTTTCGAGTGTATGAAGGTTGAAGCATCAGGGCAATTGAGGTGACCGACAGCAACCAGGAGATGATGTATCATATGACGGTGCCACGGGTATGAAGTTGTACTGATAGATTGCCCATGATGATCCATTTTGCCTATGTTTCCAGGAACGACGCAACGGCAAAAGGAATGAATAGTCTTTAGCGGCACCTCTTCAAGGTAAATCCACCCCAAGAGCAGGATTCGGAGCCGTTAGTCCTGTGTTGTAATGTTCCCTATGGAATGGTCCAGGGCGGCCATGCTTCACTATCGAAAAGGTGAGCAAAATTTGTCTGCAGTAGTAGGTTACTCTCTCATAGCTCTTCCGTTGCTTTGATGAGACTCAAGACAGTGATGACAAAGAAAGTTGCGATGCAACGGCTCAAGCCTCGACTTCACAACGTCTTTATGTTTAACATTTCCAATAGCAAAGCCGAGAAGTCGAAGAATTGAGGTCACAGAAAACCAGCCAGCGATAGTAATGGTATCTTTGTACTCTGACGCCTTCTGTACTGCCAGTTTTCCTTCAACATGGGCTAGCAGGTGAATCCTGGGGCCGGTGGAAGGAAGCCTCTTGCCCGGACACCTTATTGAGAGACAGTACTGATGAGACCCATCTTGTCTCTCCCAGGGCATTTTTAAACACGTCTCATCTCACACTCTTGCTCGTTGTATCACGAGGCCTCATCTCTGTCCCGCAGAAAGAAAGTCAACTAACAGAACTGGCGAGAGCACCCCTTCCCATTTCAGCTTGCTCCTTCCTTCTACTCTGAAAAAGATCATCTCTCCTTTTCTATCCTCTACTTGCCTCGAATTACTCACAGCTTTTTCATCATCGCCCACTCTCTCTTGTACTCAACCACTTTCGCTGCGAGCCAGATCGTATAGCAATTTTTACAAGCTCTCCAAAATCCTCTTTTGCTCGCGTCCTTCGAGCTACTTCACTCAATTCAGTCATCATTTAGACTTCGGCATCAGTATGGACGAATTCTGCGTTCGTCTCCTCTCCTACTTCGACCGCGGCATGGACGGCAAGCCCGGCCGCTGGCCTCACTCGCTTCCCTCTCCCGAGGACATGGCAGGCGCTAGCTATCGCTTCGAAGGCAACCGGGAAGTCGGAGGCGACATCGTCGTCTGCGATTTCTGTACCATGCAAGCGTGGGCGTGGGAGCGCAAGGACGATCCGTTCGCTCAACACATGGAGTCCAAGAGTTGTGAATACGTTGACAGCGAAGTGTTCCGAGACCATCACGACAAGTTCCTTCAGAAGCAGGGCGAGAACAAGAAGATGGACGACTTGATGCTCACGCCTCCTGCTACGCCAACCAAGAAGCTCTACAAGCCGCGCCGGAAGTTGCGCTTGTCCCCCATCGTGACTGTATTCGATAGCATGCCTACCGAGGAAGCCGACGCCAAGGCCGTCAACAATAGCAAGCCTGTCGAGATCGCGGTTTCTGCTGGAGAGACCAAGATCTTGATCAAGATTACTGATGGCGGCGAGCGTGGTAAGCTTCTAGTTCCTACTCCTACTCCTTCCTCTTTGCCTTGAAGCTAACAAGTCGGACAGCTGCCAAGAGAATCCGTCTCGAGTGAGCGGCCCTGCGCTCGAAGTTCGTCCAAAGACAACATGGCTGTTACAGATGTGACTTTTACAAACATACTTGCTTCGAATACCCTCGTTCGTTCCATCCATCCCGACTTGCAAAACGCTCGGGAATACTGACATCTCTCACCAGTATTTCAGAGATTGCTACATTATCGTTTTTGATCAGTGCGTGGACTAGCGAGAAAGAGTCTGTTCATGTGCTTTAGGGCAAGATACCGATACGAAAGGAAGGAAGTACGAGATATGTACAGGAATTTGCCCAGATGAGCAAGCATGACGCTTGTGGATGAGTTTTTGAAGGGCAAGGCATTACGGCAATCGCCAAACATCGGCCATCGGCTGCGTTTGGACAGAGCTGTCAGAAGACTTGCACGAATGGTGGCGAGAGGGAATACATACCATCATCATGAGGCAGTAGTCTGTCTCTAGGTAGCCAACAGACATCTGTATCATTCACTCATCCAAACCTACGGTCTAAACAGGGTACATGACATGACAAACGCCGGTGGCAAATGTTCGACAGCCGCCTGTTGACCTTTTGCCTACCCGTGACATCGCAGAGCAACTAGGTACTCCTCCAACTACAATCTTCTGGTAGATGAGACCAGCGCCCCAGCCGTCCACAGGTCTCACAGATCACATCCTTCCTCCTCATCGTCACAACCCGTTTCCAAAAGGCCTATGAGAGCGGAGTAATGGGTGGGCAATGCACGGCAGGCAAGACAAATCATATCTAGTGCCGACTGGAAACACAGCACGCGGAGGATTGAACGGGGCCGAAGGGTTGTCGGTGTCCGCGGGCCGTGAGACATTAGCACAGAAACATGGGTGTGTGACACACCCGCATACATCTACAGGCAGCCTCTGGCGAGGCTTACTTCAACGTATGCCTAGACATCCAGTTGCTTATCCTCTGCATGTGGTATCAAACTAGAGTGAGAGGATGAGCGAGTCCCCGTCATTGTGAGCGCAGTGACGCCCGCTATGAACCCGCGCCACAGCCATCAATCCCCCAAGTAGAAATTCAATGTCGCGCTGTACCTGTTGCCGCAGAAGCGAGCCGCTCAAAGACTTTCCCTTCCAGACCGACCGGAGGATCCTTAACATACGCAGGGCGCAAAGGTGATGTTCTCCGTGGTCAGAAATGAGTCGAACTAGGCACTTGATCAGCGCGTGTGGTAGCCGTTAGGATCCGTGAGATGCCCCTAGTGGGTGTTCCTTAGGCAGCTCCCGGTCGGCTGCTCTCTGTATTGTGTTTGGTCAGCGGTTAAGTTTGCACGTTGTAGTAAGGTAGGTAGGTAGTATCAGCGGCCATCCGCAGCGGCGAGGCGGGTTCGTTCCCTTTAGCTCAAGTTCCAGCGTAGGGCCAGGTGCAAACCGTACTACAAATGGAACGGCTGTCAGGCGGGCGGGCGGCGGTGCGCTGCGGGCTGTGCGGGAGCGCTCGTGATGGCCGCACCGCCGGGTGACAAGACGGGCGACTGACAGGGTCGACCAATGACCTTGGCGATGGGTGACAGCCGCCAAGATGTAGGCAGACTTTTTGTGAGATGAGGCAGCTTTTGCCCAGACGTATTTAATGAAGCAGAGGGGCTGCTCATGATGTGAATGCGAATGGGCTTTTGAGTATCGTGTGAACAAACCGAATATCAAAAACACAAGCACCAAAGCAAATCACGAGACCGAGACGAGAAGCTACAATGACGACTGTCAACCAATACCAGCGTAATGGCAGATCAGGCCGCCCATCGGGGCGCAATCCGCTCCGTACCGTCTGGCGCGAGACGTACGAGGTCTGGGATGGGGTCTGCTACGGCGTAGGCAAGGCCTATTTCAAGATCACCGGCAGATGGTGATATGCCGCGGGGCAGGCGACAGGGCCGGCAGACGTATGGATGCATCATCGCATTCCAGTATAGCCCTGACGGCCCACCGAGTAGTGACGAATGACGAACAACACATGAGTAACGAGTAAACGAATAACGCGCCTAATGATTGACGACAAACGACAACCGGAGACGAGAAGATGAACGACAGAGCACCGGGGTGGAGGAATCAAGCATTTCGAGTATCCCGAGAGCAACATTAGGGAACCATAGGCTGGCATCGAGAAATGTTGACAGGAACCAACCATAATTCACCAGCCAATCCGACAAGGAAGGCCAGATTAGACCAGATTGAAAGAAACAACCCGCTTGGGCGAACAGCAAGATTGGCATCGACAACCCGCCCACCGATGACGTCGGGCCTGGGAAAATCTCGATCAGCGCCGCAGACTCTAGAGCGCTGTGTCCATCTCTTGGCACTGTGACAGATAGTTCAGCTGGAGGCGGATTCAGTGGTTCCCCATCAACTTGACACGGATTTGAGGGGATCATCCTGCCAGAGTGGGCCCCTTCAAGGCTCAAGGTTTTGGTGACGCCGGGAGGGAAAGGGAGACAGTCGCTGGGCGGGCGAGCCGGGGGGAGATAGGTAACGAGGGTTTGCCCTTGGTTAGGAATGAGGATAAGGCGCGAGAATCCGAGGAAAGAATATCGAGAACGCGGGAGCTGCGGACATGGCGGACGGGGATCCCGCTGGGTGGCCGCGGGATGATAGCCGAGTGGGATGGTTGGCCGCCTTTTGCGATTTAGATCATCTGAATGGGTGTGAAACGGGGCGCGAGCGACACCGAAACGATCTTCTGTCGACTATCAACAAGAATAGTAGACGGATGCGGTACGGGAAGGAAATGCTTGGTTGGAGTTGCACTGCCGCAGACCACGTCGCATGGAATCCATAGAATAGAAGATCCGAATTTACAATCAGCAAGACTCTGGTGACTCTCGAATTCTGATAAACGGGTCACGTCTTGCAGTATCCGTACAGTACACTGTACCGATGAACGGGCCAAAGGGCCCATCCTCGGCGAGAAACGAGACGCAAGACGGGTGAAGAAAAAGCAAGCAAATCGTTTGTCCATCGTATTGGCTTCCTGCGCGGCGGCAGATGAACCAGTGTCGAGAAGCCCACATAAACCACAATTCTGTCGTTGGAAAATCGGGGTGGCGAGCATACGCAGTAAAAGTGATTCCAGATTGAGATTCGCACGACCGGGTTTGATGGTTTGATGCTGGGCCTTGAACCAATGCCAACAGCGCATCCGACATTCGGACCGGGCCCCTCTGGCTCCCTTCTGGAGACTCTGGATGTCTGGGCCGTTTAAGCCTGGCGCTAGGCCTAGAGTAAACAACTTAAGGTAGGCCATACCAAAAGAGAGTTAATTGGACTCCCGCTTCGCCAGTCCTATTTTTGTTGCTCTTGCAAGTTGGCAACTGGCGAGTATTAGGTGCCTATACGGAAACATACACGCTGCCAGTATGGATGCTGCCAGCACCGACACAGTACTGGAAAACCCCGTCGACTCAGGGAACATGGCGGTTAGCGCTGACTGCACTGCTGGTCGGAACTAAAGGCCTTCACTGTGTAGAAGTAGCACACCCACACAGCCTGTAGGTGTGCCTCCAAGCCTCGTATTGGCGGCGACATGAAAGTTTTGCCTCTGGGGCTGTGGTTGACAGTTTGTCGATGCGCTGCTTCATCGTCAGTCAATTCGGAGAATTCGGTCGGCCCCCGTCCGTCCCGAGCTGGTGGTGAAGCTGTCCGTCATGCGTTGGCTAGCTCAGCTTGATTTGCATTTGCTCAGCAGTGAGGCATCCGTCAAGCAAGGATACGAGCATATTGCACAGCGCTTTGTCATAGGACACTCGCCAGAAACATCGGTCCGTCTGGGTTCGAGTGCTGCGAGACAGCAACAGCCGAGCGCTGCAAGCCTGATGGATCACGAATGGATGGTGTGGGATGACTGGGAGAACAGACGAATAGTGGGATGATTGGCCTGAAGGTCTGGACCGCCGCTGCAGTCAGACTGTGTACAAAGTACTTCCGTCGACGTGGACGCATCTGCTGGGAGCCTGGCTCTCTGGGTTGTTCTGCTCCTGCATTGCACAGAGTATTGAATTACCCATTGTAACATTATCTGTGGTTCTCACTGGAGATTTGGGCCTTTGGCGAGTGACACCTTGGAGGCTGATATTGACAGTCGAGTTGGCCACGGTGGAGATAACAAGAAAACCATGCTGGAAGTTGATTGCAGTGCTGCCAACAAGGAGATGTATCCGTATGTGGCAGATGAGGATAAAGAATTCTTTCAGATCGCTGCCGTGTTCATCCCAAGCATGTTGGATTGGGCTGGGCAGAGTCGGTGGGAGCTTGCCATGGCAGAAGAGCGCGCTGGGCAGTGGCTGGGCGAAGGGGAACCTGTGAAGTGAAATTGACTTTTTGTCTGGTTATGCGCCGCGGGACTAGACAGCGGGATGTGATGGGAACTCGATAGTGAGGCGCAGAGGACGGACGACAAGAAATGCCAATGCTGAGAGGTGAATGACCTCTTGGCAATCCAGGTTGAAGGGTTCTTGGTTTATCTGTTGAGACCAAAGATGGTGATGTTTGACGCTTGGCGGCACACGATAGCCTCCAATTCTGTTCGTCTAGGACCTGCTCCGTAGAGGCTAGAGCATCTCGGCGTCTTGCTGGAGGGGTTCACTGGTTCTGGTAGGCCGGTGCGTTGGTGGCACACCCACGAGCTATGAGCCTGTGATGGACCAGACGAGGGGCGGCGGCTGGGTTGTGAGAAGATGGGCCCGGCGTCCGCAAGTCCCGGTCTGGAAGGTCAGCCGGTTCTCCAGGCCGAAGCTCACCTTGAGTGGAGATTGCCCCTATTTCTCGCTATTTCACTAACGGCCTTGGTGGATGAGGCGGTGGACCGTGGCCCCAGCGGCTACAGTGTGAACTGGGGGCGTGGTAATGGTGCCCTGGTGCCCCGGTGCAGTGTGTTTGTGTTGGTTCGAGATGGCGTCGAAAGGAGAGTTGTCAAGGAGAGATGCAGTGAAGATGAAGCTATAACAGCCTTATGTGGTAGATTACTGAGAAGATGTTAGTGCTTCAT